ATATATATATATGTATAAAAAATAGAAAACTACCTATAAATACAATGGAAAAATACATTCAAAAGCTTTTTATAAAACTTGGTGCAATATTATTTTGGCTGTAATAAAAATATTTATGACAGAAAGACAAACAGACACAGAGAGAAACACACATACGTAATGTCTGGTGCTTGTCTAAATCCTAAAAAGAAAGTCTGGTCTTTGGTATAGCTAAAGAGTTAGTTGCAACTGTCTAAAGCATCTATAGTCCCAGCTTACAGCCTCTCTCCACTCTCTGTACGTTTACCACCATTTTGCACAGGCTTTGCTGGCTGCAAGCTTCCACAATAGTTTACAACCAGGCAGGGAAATACAACCAGCTAACCATGTAGTGTCTTCCTCCAAGGGCTCAATCCAACCTTCATTAAATTAAATTGAAAATATTCTACTGCCTTTATTTGTACTGAATTTATACAAAATACTTAAATTTATTTGCTGTCAAAACGATGGCCACCCAGCAGTAAAAAATAATTGTAACCATAGAACAAACCATGGAACTGCCCCTATGGCAGTCCCTCCCTCACCCTGTTGGGATAAGTCATGACCAGCAGCTAGGAAGTCTAGCCAGCAGTTGTGGGTAACTAAACCCTGAGCACATTTTACAAGTTGCCTGGGAGGTTTTCCATCCAGCATGTGAAATGCAGTGTGCTGTGGCAGCTTCAATATCGAAATTTAGATTGGACTTTTGTCTCAGTGGAAGCTGAAACAAATCCGAGCAGGGGTTGCAGATGCATTGATCCCATAAGCCCAGCATGACACCCAGGAACATCCCTGTTTCTACAGCAGTTGTTGTTCATAACAGAGAGCAACAGAATTTTTCTGTATAAACCATGAATGCACAACATCCAACAGCATTTATTATCCAATCAACACTTCAAACTAATTCCCCTGTTCTAACAATTTAAATGTTAAATGGCAAAGCCCAGGCATATATAAACTAATACAGGAACATACATTGTGCTATACTCTGATTATACAAATGGCTGACAGATAAAACTAATTCCTAGAATCACAGAATCACTCAGGGTGGAAGGGACCTCGGGAGGTCTCTAGTCCAACCTCCTGCTCAAAGCAGGGTCAACACTGAATTCAGATTGGGTTGCTCAAGGCTCTTTCTGGTCATGTCTTGAAAACCTGCAAGGAAGGAGATTGCAGAACCTGTCTGGGATCCTGCTTCACTGGGGAAACACTTTTTTCCTTTTGTCAGGTCGGCACCTATCCTGCTCCAATTTATGACCCCTCCTTCCTGCGCAGCTCCATAAAGGGCCTGACTCTGCCTTCTCAATAACCTCCCCATAGGCACTGGCAGGCTGCTGTAAGGTGCCCGCAAAGTCTTCCCTCCTCCAAGAGGGTCCAGGTCCCTCAGCCTTTCCTCACAGGGCATGTGCTCCAGCCTCCTGACTATCTTAGCTGTTTGCTGGACTCCCTCGCTCAGGTTGTTTGATGGTTCTGGTTAGCAATTTGTTTACTTGTACCAAAGCAGGCGAAGACAGGGCTTGAAAAATTGGGCTACAAAACACAATTATATTTTTATATTGTTTTTGAGAGGAGCTTGGAATTTCTTGCCTCTAAACCTCATTGGTAGCCATTAGAGAGAAGGGAAGGTGGTCAAAAGAAAAAGAATATTTAAACTGATTCATGAATAGAATTCCTTACAAGAGAAAAAAATCAAGTCTTTGCTCTTTTTTTCTCCTCTCCTATATGAGTAGAAGTCAGAATAATTATATGTTAATAAGCTGTCTGATAAAATATGATTTGAAATGATAGTTCACATCTAGTGATACCAACTGGAACATTGAAATGGATGGGAGCTTTAGCACTGATGTGAACAGATGTAGCATTTCAGCAAAAATCAATCTGAAAAATGTATCTGATGGAAAAAATATGATTCTATACTTACATATTATTTTCCTGCAAGGTAAATGCTTTTTCTCCATCTATTTTATATTCACACTACATAAAAGCAAAACATCTTAAGAAATGGGCATGGTTCTTTGAAGCAGTAAGGAAAATACATACCACAGTCTGCTTCTCCAGGCAACTTCTATTATGTATATACCTTGCTTCCTGCTGGATTTTCATTTGACTTGTTATACCCTGTCTCACATATTCAGCCTGGTGCAAAACTAGACTGACAGAGAGGCAGCTTCCACAGTGATATCTTTCTAGCTGCAGCATCAGATCAAATCAATCTTTCAGTAAAAGTCTTTTCTACAGGCTTCTGGATCAATGCAATACTGGCCATTACAGGAAAAAGTGAAACACACAGCAGACAAGATAAAATGAAAAATAAATGCCTATAGTGTCAGCTGTTGACAAATGCCACAGAGTTAATTGGTTTCCAATACTCATCCTCTCCATTCAAAATGAAGACATATGGTTACCTTGTTAATATCAAAATATTAGCTAGTGATATTTCCAATGGCAAAACCATACATCCATAGTGTCTGAAAATGTTTATAGAGACACTGTGTATAAAAAAAGCTTCAGGTTACATCTGCTGACTGAATGCATGCTCTTGTTACAAAGAGACGCACACAGACTTTGGTGCATTATCCAAACAATTTCTGGTTGCTGTACTGTCTTCTATCCTTCAAGGAACATTGTGTTTGTCACAAACCTTGTGTAATTTGATTTTAAGCAAGAAACAAGAGAGCAGGTTTAGAACTGATGCTTATGAGTCTCTATAAATGTCCTGGAAGAAAAAAATATCAGAAATCCTTGTCCCAGCCTGAAAGTTCATCTGGAGGGGTTCCCTCTTCAGGTGGATAGCTGTCAAAGTAGCTGTAATCAGTCGGTCCAGACAACTAGGACATTAAAAACACAAACAAACGGTTGTTTCAGAAGGCAACTTTTGAAAATACTCTCCATTGATGATGTATCATTTTTATTGCTATCAGTGGAGGAATGAAAGGCTAGTGTGATATGGATGACTTCTTTCAATGGATGCAATTTCCTCGTTCTTTAAAAGATAAACCTCCAGTAAATAAATTGTACAACAGAACAATGGCATTAGCCTCCTTATACAAAAACACTCCCCAAATACTATCAAATCCTAGATTTCACCCAAAGCCCCATAAAGTCAGTAAGAAAACTGGACCACACTGCGTACAATTTTGATTCAAATTTGTTTAAGACCGAATCTACACTCATGGGGTAGCTACTCAAAGCAGATCTCAGAGTTATCTTTTGTTTCAAATTGAGTTCAAAGTGAGTTTCAAATTCTTTACTGTCAATCTTTTTTCATTTTAGGGCAAAAAGAAATGGGCCATTTAAAACAGGAAGCTTATTCAAGGATGTGCTGTAACTCAATAGTAAGAGAATTACAGGAATTTGTACTCTGCACAGTAATGTGAACAGTGCATCTTAATAATATGCCCATTACTGAGGAAAATATGTTTTTTCAGAATTTGTTTCTGACCAAACACCATTTATTCTAGTAATGGTGAAAATCTAATGGAAAGTATACAACCAGAATAATATTTCCATTATTTAACTGAATTTAAGTTATGTATCGCTTGCTGTCTCTCTTTCTTTCATTCAATTTTCACTAAAAATGGCGAGCTATAATAATTCAAATGCATATTTGGGAAATTTCGCTCTCAACATCAGTTGTTTCTTCGTAGCCAAACACCTTTATATTAGTAAAGCATTATGATACGGAAAGCCAAAACCAATACCTCTCTTTTTATAGGCGATGTTAATTTCCTCACTTTCAGACCATCCCAGTTAAAACCACTCAACCACCTGATTAAAAAGAAATGAGAAACAGAGAGGGAGAGACCAAGAAAGACAGATTGTTTTCTGTTATTATAATATTAACAGCTGAAAAACATGTGAACAAAGGCTATAAGACATTTTTTCATGACAAATTCTGTCCATGTGACAATACAGTTGTTAGAAGGAGGAAACTTGAGCACTGTCATTGCATACAAGGGAGTGTTAGCAGGGGGAGCTTCAGGACCACCAGATACATTGCACCTTCTCTGTATAGAAGCACCGAAGTGACAGGCAGGTTAATACATGCGTAAGCACAGCCATGCAAAGACGTATGCGTCCCCTTGGAATTCCACCCTTTTTTAACAGCATGCAATGAGGGAGACAACCGTCTTTTCCCCAGCACAAACTGCAGGGCTTAGAAACAACTCAGATAAAAAGAAATAGCAGGAAATGTTTAATCCACAGAGGACTTTCTTCATTATTAGAAAGAGGACAAAAATCTAATATTGCTCTGGAGCTCTTAACTACCATTCTTAAAAAGCAACTGGTTAAGGGTTGGGAGGTCTGAAAGGCAGCTGCTGAACTGGCATTGATTTCTCTGAGAACTGAGCAACGGCAACCTGCAACAAAACCAGTAAACAACCAGATGTTTCTAGATAATCATGCTGAGGATTTATGTTTATATCGTTGCTTGCTGTAGTCGCAAATATGCTCGATAGCAACAGAGATCTCTCTCATGCAATCTTCCTGGAAGTGCCTGGAGGTTTATGGGTTTACTGGACTGGGTTCTAAAATATTAAAAATATTTTCAAATTAAAACCCAAGTTTTCTTCTTGGCAGTCTCTTTCACTTACCTGTGCTTCTTGATGTCATTAATTCCATTCCTCAGATTGCCTAATCTTTCTGTAGGATTTTGCCTTAGAAAAAGAGAAAAAGAATAAGGATAAGAACTTTTAAAAAAATCTTATTTTTTAAAAAGAGCATTTATAGGTCCTAACTGCTTGCATTCAACAGTTACACAGGGATGGAGCTTGCATACAACATGTGATGTCATACGGAGACATAATGAGGTGTTGCTCACTGTTCCTTTCTTTTGAGGATGGAGAAACCTTCCAGGAAGCTAAAACAGTGTCACTCTGCTGTGAGAAGCAGCAGAGGGAAATCAACTGGTTGAATTTTACTTGCACACCTTTTTTTTCTTGGCCAGCAGGTCTGGTCATGAGTTACAAAAGGAGGCAGACCAAAATTTGCAGCTACAAAGATCCTTTCAATCCTGCTGCACAAACATGGTGTATACTGTTCCTAGTGCCATGGATGAAATCCCACTGGAGCTGGGAGTTCAAAGTCAGCAGTGTCACCAGCCACAGGTTGTGCATGCCACTATGCACTAATGCTTCTGAATTATGCTGGCCCTTTTGAAATACCACCTTTTTGCAAATTTTCAGGTGGGCTTAAGTCAGTCTTTAAGTGCCCTATGCTTTCTGTAGGAGCTATATGCCTAAGTAATTTTGGAAGCATTTTTTAAAAACACTGCACTTGATAATAAAATTAAATTTTTAGCTCTTATCTCAGCCCACACTTAATAAGTTTCCCCTAAAACGTGTTTCAGAAAAAATTCACAGCTACAAAGAAAGCCCAGAGACTGCATTTGTAGATGACACCTCTGCAGACTAAGAGGTGTGACACACACTCAGAGGCATGCGTGCGTACTGAATATAATCAGAATAGACCATGCTAGGCATAACAATTTTAAATGAAGTTGTCAGGAATTTAACACTCCAGTCTGGATCTTAAACAGCTCAATCTATCTACACCCAGGCTCTGCCCCAAACTGCCCCTCCTACCTGCAGAGTCTGCGGATCAAATCCTCAGGCCGCCTTGTTATTATTTTAGGAAAATCCAGCTTTTCAATGCCTTTGAGAATCAAATTATATGTCATCATCTGATCAGCGCCAGAGAATGGTGGACTAGAAAAAGAAAGCAACACTGATAAATGGAATGGCTGGCAAGAGCAGATGTGGCCATTTATCATCAAAGCAAATATTTGAGAATATGGAAAAACCCCCACATTCCTAGTTTTACAACCTTCACCCTTTCAGTCTGTTTAAGATATTAGAAAGGTTTGAAGCTGAGAAGCTGCCTGTAGGTACCAGGGAAAACGAGTGATCATATGTCTCCCTCTAAGCTAGCTCTGCCTCCAGGCTAACTCAGAGAAGCTTCCATGTTGTACTACCATTGAGCATTCGCAAAGAGTTGTCACAGAAGTGTGCATGGAGGCAAAGAATGAGCCCAGCTTACAGTTCACCCACCCCACTGTACCCCGTCACCCACTAAAGGAAAAAAGAACAGTCTGTTTTCAGCTGTTCCTCACAGGAAACATCATAGTCAGTTAAAGGAGCTCTATACCAGCCACTTATAGCCGGTGTCTGGCCCTTTCCTTGGATGGATAAACCAGAATTGAGAATATGTCCCACACTTTGTCTGTGGCGTTTCTGAAATGACGGAAGGTAAGACATGCATAAGAGGCAAAAAGAAGTATAATTTTGCAAGTCATTCCTGTTTACTGATGGGAAAAACCCCAAACTTTCTTTTAAAAATAACCTTGAAAATGTTTTCTAAAAACAAACAAACAAGGTAAGAACTTGGAGTAGGAGGCACTTACCTGCCAGTAAGGAGTTCATACACAAGAATCCCAAGGGACCAAAAATCCACACTGAAGTCATGGCCTTTATTCAGAATGACTTCAGGGGCAACATACTCAGGGGTTCCACAAAACGTCCAGGTTTTCTGCCCTGATCCGATCTTCTTTGCAAATCCAAAATCAACCTGATCAAAATCAACATATGCTGCATAATGCAGAGGTGTTATGGGGAAGCCGTAAGGTCTTAATTGCTTCCTCACCTCCCGAAAGATCTCAGAGTTGCCAGTTTACCGCTAAAACAATTACACAGTGTTGTTGTGTTGTTTTGAGTAATTTCCTGAATTACTTTCCTTTTGGATAGAACAACCCATGCTTTCCTTGAGGACACAAAATTTACAGCCCATGGAAAATGGTGGGTTGCTCATTGTCAGAGTGGATGCTTCAAGCTCTTTGAAGGGTACTCTCTTTGCACTTTTCACGGTCACAGTCAAGTATGTCAGGAGCTCTTTACTGTGTTCCCTCTCTACAGAGTGATGCAGAACCTATGATTGCTTGAGGCTGGACAGGGAGTAATTCTGCACCTGGGAAATGTGGTTCCTGCCTTTACATTAAGATTGGCTGCTGGGAGAAATTATTTTTGCTGTTTATGCTGTGGCAAGAGCTCTCAGAGGCTGCAAATCCTCAGTTTGTCTGTGGCTTGCAATGGCTTTGCAATGCCTTTGTTTCTCACTGTGCAACAAGTAGCCTGCCCTCTTTTCTACTGAAGCATAAGGGTTATTAAACTACAATTACATGCTCTCTATTTATATCCCCCTGCAAGGAAGCAGGATACAGGCACAAAAGGGTAACATTACAAAAGGATTACATCTTACCAGTTTTATATAACCTTCAGCATCCAAAATTAAATTTTCTGGCTTCAGGTCTCTGTAGATAATTCCTATGTGATGTAGATAGTCAAAAGCCTCTATCACACACCCAACACAGAACTTGGTAGTGCCTTCATCAAAGCTGCCTCTGGAACAAAAATAATCACTATCCTTGCAGAAAATTAACTTCTAAAACCACCTCACTCATAAACCAGATAACATATAACACCCAGAATATTAACAGCTTTTTTGCACTGACATTCAGTACATCACTCAGGTGGTTGAAAACTGAACCAAACGTCTTTTCATTGGACAGGCCTTGAATACAGAACCTACTCAGCAGACATATGGAGCTGACTGGTGATTTTAAAGGACATGGTTCCACTTCATTTTCTGTTACCTGTCTCTCAGCAAGCTCCACAATTCCCCTGCAAGGCAAGCCTCCAGTAGCATGTATACATACTTACTATCTTTGAATGTGCGATATAGTCTGTGGAGACAAATGGCAGCAATTTAGGAAAACAAAATAAAATGCAAGACTTGCAATGTCTTTTCTCCAGACCTCATATATGCCAAACCTCATTCTTAATAATGCTGTCCAGTGGGTCAACTGGGGGTGAACTTTCAAGGAAACCTTATGGTCAACTTACTTTACAACGAATGGAGAACATATCTGCTCGAGGATTTTCTTCTCAGAATAGATATGCTCTTGTTGTTTGGTGTCCACTACGAGTTTCTTCTTTATACACTTCATAGCAAAAGCTATGTTCTCATTTTTCACTTTAACCTGTGAATAAAAATTATGAGTACACGTGAGGCAAAGAAAGGATGTTTTACCAATCTGTTCTCAATAGGTACGCCGATAGCCATCTTTTTCAACATGGCACAGTGTGGTGGTGCATTCCTCCCCCCCCTTC